ATATATATATTCATCAAACAAAGTCCATTTTATTAGTTTTGAATAACTACAAAAGCCCCAAGATTCAAGTCCTTGAATTAGAACAAAAAACATTCACCTAAAAGCACATAAGTAGGCACCATCCAATAAATATTTGCATACAAAACATCTGAAACAGATAAGAACAACACGTCCCTCCAAAAGTAACCACAAGAGCATTTAGTAAAAAGATATACAAGCCAAAGCAGCCATATACAATAAACGAAAAGATAACTATTAGGATGAGCTCTGCAACCAATTGGGATTGATTAAGGCTTGATTATAATTATGTAATAATATCATTCATATTGAATGATTAGAAGTTTTTTTTCATTAATAAAATATTAATTATAATAGGTTATATGTTTAATTGGATGAAGTCTATGAGATTAATATGCTTTGCAAGGAAACCGTAATGAATTATAATTATGAAATCCCTATACATCAAAGCATAATCTTTAAATGTTCCTAGTCGATGCATCATTGAGACTAGACATCAATGATACCTAGAGATTAGTATATTCTATATTTTTTTTAAGAAGTAAGCCACTGATCTCATAGGTTAAAGTATAGATATACTTAGAATTATAATGTAAGTGCTTGCCTAGGAGAGCAAGTTCATTGAATATGATCAGCCATGAAAAGTGTATTTGGTATTTCACTTAAGTATCTATGCAATACTTCTCATGTGTCAATCGTATAAACATTTCTTAGACTTAAGATACCAAGTTGTGGAGTGTTATGCTTTCATTTTATCCCTACGGGTGCTTAATCAATGATGCCAAAACATGATGTTTTTGAGTATAGCATAAAGCATGTGAAGGAAAATGAGTGGTTAAGATAGAAATCATCACTCTAAGTGATTTAAGGGATATATCTTAACAGTTTTTGGTTGATATTAGCTTATTGAAGTCCTTGATCAAGATGACGTAAAGATTATAAAATGAGTTTCATAAGTCTTTATAAAGCTAATGATCAAATTTCAAAAACGAATATGGAGAGCAATAAGAGTAGACACCGTACCATGCTCTTAACATCTCTGGAGATATATAACGAAGGAATAAATTACACCAAAAAGGTTGATCACTGAAAGATTAAATCAAACCATCTTGACTCTTCTAACATCCGGGTGACCATGATAGATTGTTATTTAGATAAAGTGACATGATTATATATTTTATTTATTAATTTAATTATGTACTCAATTTGACAAAAAAGAGATTTTAGGAATGTGAGGCACAATTAAATTTGTTAATTTTATTTTCACTATGTTTTTATTTGTTTATAATGCATGATTAGCCCGCGCCTAACAATAATAGCTCCCCTTATGTGGGAATTAAAAAAAAAAAAA